TAAAAGACAGCAACACCAAAAAATCACCTACAGCTGTATTTACACTAAAAATTAGTTTATATATAGTACTTTAAGTATTTTATTTGAAATTGATACATGTATCCTTTTTTAAACAGGATATTTGTTTAAAAAAGGATACATTCATCAACATGCCATGATTTTTGTCATAATTTGAAACAGATTCTTGCATTTTATCAGGAAAAAGTTATTAATATTCTCATCTTTTTTAGACTTGTTCAGATTATTTTTTTTCAAAATTTTTAGAGGGATGATGATGGAGCTGTATTTTCACAAAGTAGGCAATGCCCTGAAAAGATTATTTTTGGGATCACTATGCTTAGAGCTATAAAAGGAGCATATGCTTATTAAAATTGCTCCTGCTTAGTCTCAAAATTAGTAGCTCCCATATAGATTGGGAAGAGTATCAGTAGCAAGCAGATTCACATTTTTGGGAACTTTGATTGCATGAAGTGAATGAAAGGAGGCTGTAAAGACAGCTGACATTGGGCTTTGATGACACACCCCATCCCTATATTAAGCTTTTTTTGACTGAATAGTAACTTTTCAAGGGTTTGAATATAATGGTCTGACAAGTTTGCATTTCATGATGATGTATGACTCTAAGTAAGACTGTAACCAGTTGGTTTTGTGTTTATATTGCTCTGATTTAGGTAAAAAACTTCTTCTGTAGCTGTAGTGCTGTAATAGTGTAAAAGATGTGGCAGTGATAGTGCAAAGTTCTTGAACAAGATATTCCAGTTGTATTCCAAACTTAACTTTTCACGTGAGTTTAGTCATCATGTTCCTGGTCAAACATGATTCTCCACGTGAAGGAGATTTGATAAAAATCACAGTGAGCTTTAGCATTGCAGGAATGTTTCTGTTACCATAATAAAAAAATAAAATACTCTTTCCTCCTTGGTTTCTGCTTAATATTCCCATAAATGTGGCTGTGTTTTATGAGCAACTCAGCTGCTTCTTATTTGATCCTACTGTGAACCATCTCAGGAGGCTAAATAGCAAAAGAAAAACAAAATGAAAAAGTGAGTAATTTTCTGCTGTGTCTGTTTTTTCTAACAGCAATCAGATGTGCACCAGTGCAAGAAAGAGGAAAAGACTGTATCTTTCCCATAGTAATTCTAATGTGACTGTTCAGTCAAATATAGCTAAAGTAATAAGCAATAAATGGACCTTAAGCGTTTTGATGTCCAACTGCTTAAACTGGTTTTGAGTGAGAGTGATTGATGCGTTTTTGAAAGGGAACTGTTGCACATTTAATATCAAGAAAAAATATTTATGTTACCCATTTTGCTTTCCTAGATATTAAAATACTGCACTATTTTTAGGTCAATATTAAACAAAGTATAACTCTTGGTATGATTTCTAGTACAGCAATAAAAAATATGGTATAAAAATATAAAAAAAAATCTCTAAGAGATTATTCGAGTGAAAACTACAAAAATCAATATAGAAATAGTTTTAATCTGAAAATTAAAGTAAAAACTAATACTGTTATTTCATTTTATTTTACAAGAATAGCAGGAAGACATGGTCTTATTATTTTTTTTTTAAATTATTTTCCCTTTTAGTGAAATCAAGTTAATTACTATTGGGAGACGGAGCATCAATTTTCTCTGTTTTCCTTGGCTGATATTTTTCCATTTTAGGAGCTTACAATAGGTTTTACCTTAATGGCTTTCCCATTTGTCTGGGCTTCAAAGATGTAATTTTAAAAAATATCGTCATAGGAAAAAATATTGCATTCACTGGCTATTGAACTTAAGCTTGTCTTGTTTTAGGTCTTGTCATAAAGAAAATTGGACATTTAGAATTCTGTATTAGTGCTCCTTCTGAGTGGAGCACTGAGCAGGGAGGACTCTGCCCTGTATCAGATGGAATTGCATTGGCCTTGAATTTGCACACACCTTGGCGTGAACCACTCTGTCATTCCACAATTCTGTGAAATTGTTCCGTTCACTGATGAAGGCTCACTGGCTTTTATATTCTGGGCCAGAAGACTGATGTCTGTCTTTTTTATGCACAGAACACAGGAGTTTATAAGTTAAGAGTAAATGACATATAGTTATTCTTAAATCAAACAAACAAACATTTTTAAAATAGCACAAGTAAATATTGTTACTGCACATGTGTTACTGAAGCATTGCCAAATAATTACCAAAAACCTGTTTGACAGCTTGTGCACACCTTTTAGAGGGGTGAGGACTGAAAGTGAGTGCTTAATACATTTTGAACATTCAGATTTTTTTATAGTTACCTGCACTTTGCTTCCCCATATGAGTATGCTAACTGACATTTAATTTTGTTTCAATTTGATGGTAAGTGTACAAGATTGTTTATTCAATCCTAGGTCACCCATGTTCACAGGATTCAGGCATACATTTGGGAAGAATCAGGGGATAAATAATAAAAAAAATTGCAAAAGTTTCTGCACTAAATTCACTTAAAAGGGATAGATTTTTCGTCTGTCAGAGTTGACAGTGACTAAACTTCTCCGGGAATTTTACCTAAGAGGTAGCTTTTCTTCCTACTTAACATTTTCTCTGCCTTCACAAGTAAATCTACATAAGGACAAGCTGAAAATATGATTGAATAATAAGTATTTATTATCATGGCTACATTTTCCTAGCAGATGTTTTTAAGAGAAATTTTGTAGCCAATACATGAAACTCTTTTTGGATTAAAAACAATAATCATGGAGGTCTCTCAATAAAGACTGTGCTTGCCCAAAGTAAGATCAAAACCTATTATGATATCAACTGGAATGAAAAAAAATAGATGCTATGAGCAAAGATTCAGATGCATTCCTTTCTTTACACATGGTCCTATCTAACTTCTTCGTGTTCTACTGTGGAATGAGAAGTGTAGTTTTCCTGGTTCTCAGCAATTAAAGAATGAAATTACATATAATAGATTAGAGGCAGACTTGTAGAGACAAAATTCCTACATTATTTCAGTATGTCCAAGAGAATTGCGAGAAATTCTTTACTCTTCTGTGTGAAATCCAGGAAATCCACCATATTCAGGAACTTAGAACTGAATCAAAATTCTGTAGCCTTTAATCTGAAATGATTTATATTTACTTGATTTACTTCTACTACCTGGAAGTAGCAAAGGATTTATCTATTCCTCAGTATGTTACCTGAGCCAATACAAGTCATTATATTCCATTATTATGGACATTATATTATACTGCCAAAGAAATTATAAGCAGCAAAACTGAGATGTTTGTTTATACCTCATGTCTATTTTGTTACTGAAAAAGAAAATTCCCAGCCAGAACAAGTGTTTGCAAACCAGTAGCAAATTGCATGGCTGTCATGTGAAGCACCTTCTCTTGACCACAGCAATACTTAACAGTCCCCTGGAGAGGTTTTCCTGTTGACATAAATTTATAAGGTCTTTTTCTTTATCTCCCCACAATATTTTTGACAGACTCAGCTCTTTTTATCTTTTAAAGCCTTTTACTGCGCCTTTGTTCAAGAATAACTATTCACTCTGTTAGAGCACTTCAGTTTGAGGAGACTTTCTTTCTTTTCATAGAATTTATAAATGCAATAAATTCACACAAATAAAGATCTTAGAGCCTATAAATGTTAGAGGTTAGAGCTTCATTAAGCTGTGTTTTTTAAGCCAGGAAAAGCCATTAAATAATAAACAGAAAATGCCAAGTTTCCTGTGACATTTCTAAAGCCTATCAAAGAATTTGAAAATTATATGAAAGGTTAGATAAATTTTTGTTTCATAAAGTTCTATTTTCTTCAATTTTCCTATATTCATAATTCTCAACAGTACATACAATCCAAAGATTTCATGTTTTATTTTTTGTTTTGTTCCTCTGGACAAGACAATATATGAACAGATATGTGAAAAAGTTTTGCCAAATAATTTTCTAGACTTACGTTTTGTAGAATATATTGGCTATAATTTATTAAACATTACACCTTTCTTTCTGTCTGTACAATTACCTTAACCTGCTACCACCATCTATGAGTCCTACCTGATTCCAGATTTTTCTTTAGCCACTCACATGTGTTCTGACTGGGACAGACCCATGCCTTTCACCTGGCTTTTCTTGCTTACTAAGGTAGATTTTTATCTCTAATATTCCTACATTGCATATTACAGTGCTTAATAAAGTAAAACAGTATTGAAATAAAATTGATTTCTGTCATTGTTCCGATATGGATTTGCAGTGTTTCTAGCTGTGGAGCTGTTGTTTAACTGCATCCTTTACTTGAGGCTTTAATTTGATTTTTCCTCTTTAATTGTAGACAAACACTGAGTATAAGAGCAGCAAATAAAATCAGTAAATATATTTGATAGACGTTATATTGAAAGCATTTCATGACAGTTCTGCACATTATTCTAAATCTATATTTACAGAATACTAAACACAATCAAAATAAACCTGCAAACACCCTAGCTTTTTCTTTAGATGAGGTCTGTTGTTCTTAGATTTTAGCAGTTAAAATATCTAGAAAAATGCTACTTTTAAATGCTTAGATTAATTTCTGTTTAAAATAATAATTTATATGAATGGTAGAGAAACCATATATACTGCATATATATATATAGTACATATGTGTGTATATATATGGACACCATATAAAGCATACAATTTATTCTTTTTTACAATGGAATTAATACCGTTAACAGGTTGTGTATATGTATTTTTGCTCTATGAAGCCATTAGAGTCTTACTTTGGTTTTCCAAAGTTAAGGACAAAATATGTGTATTGCACAGATTTGAAACAATTTGCAAATCTTATGTAAAGAAATTTTTCTACATGACTTCTGGCTGAGATTTAACTCAAACTGCTACCGGGATTGTGTGGTCAGGTCATGTATAGAACAGCAAAAGAGAAAGGACAGTAAAGGACAGTTACTAATTAATAACTAAAACTGTCTAGAAGTTTAAAGGCTCCTTAAACTCAACTTTTTTTTTTTTTTCTTCATTTTTTACCATACTATTAATAAGGTTGACAATGAATTTGATGGGGAGAAAAGAGAAAATAAAACATGTCTTACATCTTAAAGGCAAGCTGTCATGCAGAGCACTGTATCATTTTCATTTTAGGTATTAGTCTTGACAGGGTTTTCCCTTCTATCTTATTAGAGACAGAGCAAACCTGCTGAGATGCAAGATTTTGCATCTTATAATTCTGTCCTGCAGGGAAGGAATAAAAAAGATCTCATCAAAATGAAGATCTCCTGAAAATCAGTTCTGTGAAACTGATCTCCCACTGTTAACAGTCAGTGCTAGGAGCAATGACATGTTACTGTATTTGCTTTTCTTTTAACGAAAGGCCTCCTGCATTCCTTAGGGATGCAATGGTGTTAGAAGACTCCACCTATTCCAAAGCTTCTCAGACTTCCCTATTATCAGCCTATAGCCACAAACTTCACTGCCTGCATATCTGTCTTCCCTTTCCTCTCCTTCTCTCAGTTTTAGTCCATTCTTCCATCTACCTTTCTTAAGTGCCTGCCTGCAACTTAAGTCTGTTCTTGGTAGACACATAATATTTATCTCAATTAAAAATGAAATACATTGGCACCAGAGTTTTCTTGGACGTTTCCTAGACACTAGAACGATATTTGCTTATACCTAAAAATTTTATCTTCATTGATGTGTAGGGTCAGGCCTTGGACTGAATGCTTGTCATAGATTTGGCTTACACAACTACAAGAAAATTAAGAATATTAAGGGAATTTTCTTTATAATCTGCATACTATGATTTGTTGCACAAGAAAAGAACTGAACCTTGTGGTGGCATAACAAATGCAGAACATTTTAACATATGTATGCATATGTGTATATAAAACATATCTATATATATATTTTATATAAATATTAATATGCATCTATATATCTACATCCTGTACATAATGCTTATTTATATATGCTATTTATATTATATACACATATATATATGTTACATAAAGCATACATACATGTTTTAGGGCTCCTTGGTAGAATGAGGACTGGCCACATGGTTCTGAGTTTTATTATTAAATAAATTACGTCTTTATTATTAAATAAATATTTTAACAGTGAGCAAAGCTTATTTTTATCTACAGTAATAGTTAGTCTAGGCTACTGTTGTACAGAACTTTTACAAAATACCATAGCTTTCAATTAAGGAGAATTTCTGGTTAACTGGACTTTTAATCACTTGGATCCTCTACTGATTAGGTCAAATTTCTAATAATCAACCTATGAAACAATAATTGAAAACTAGACTCAAAATATTCTTAACAAGAGTCACCATTTAGTCCTTGGAGACTTTCATTTTGGTTGAAGTGAACTTCGTGTACGAAGATCTGCTGATAGGAAGCCAGGACAATTTCCTTGAAAAGTTGTTTTATAACATGACAACATGGAATTTTGGGAGCTTGTCATGGTAAAAGCTCCCAGTAAATTATCATGTTTTTACATGATTATGTCCTCACATGATCAGATCCTCACATTCACATTCTCTGGCCTTCCCGTATACAATCATCTGAGTTCACACAAAAGTGAGTATTTTTGTCATTGCTACAAAATGGAACTCACAAAATGGTAGTGATACATGAGGAGATTCTGGATCACTCTACCATTTTTGTGTGTAATTTTTAGTTGAGTTTCTTCGATGCTAAATTTGTAACCGAGCTATTTGAATACATCTCTTTTATAGAGCTCTTTTACGATGTGTCTTCTGTGTTCTGAATATTTTTCTTGTGACAAATCAATGGTAAAATTATTAAGATTGTTTCCAGAAAGATAAGTGTTTATGTCAATGAATCATAGCCACTTCAAATTTATTCTGGATTATGTGCATGTTCTGAAATCATTCCATTATCTACCTGTATTTTTCTCCCTTATGTATTAGGGTGCATTTTTTTCCACTTTGATTTGTATTTTGTTCTTTAAACTAAGATGCTGGAGATTAGATTTTTTTGGGGGTGTTTTAAAGAAAACACTGTCATTTACAAGAGTAATTTGAAAAATATCAGTATATGTTTTTCATGATCTTGGCTATTTTTTTTCAAGAACTTTGTTTAATTTCCTGCTATAGTTGGTCTTCCTTTAAAAGAGAAATAGTCGAGTAGCAGTGGGGAAGGGGGGAAAATTGGAGTTAATATATGCAGCTTTACAGTGATTCGAGATAGTCTGTCTTTGAAAATGGAGGTGTTGATGTGACTGTGGCCTGCAGACATAAGGTCTAAGCCACAGAGTGGCCAAAGGGCAGCAAAGTTACCTTGTGTAGTGGAAGGAAGGGAACCACAAAGGCCAAATGGCAGTAGAGTGGAAACACCGTGTAGCATCAGGTTTCTGAGGTGTTCTTAACATTATACTTGGACTCTGTTCTGCAACGTGAACTTCACACGCACAATTCTGTGTCAACACCCAGGGACCTGTACAGGATTAAGTAATGATTATTAGTGATAGTAAAAGGGTTTTAAAATAATGAGATTTAGGGTTAACAGAAAAAAATAAACTTAGTAGGCCTTGGAAAGGTAAATACCTTTAGCACAGGGAGAAATAGTACTATGTAGCTAGTACATGATAATTGATATAATTGTTAGATGTGATGACTGTTTAGTAATTAAATATAATTACTGTTTAATCAGAAAGAATAATCATGTGAAACTGTGGTCATTGCCTAAGAAAGATCACTATAAACTCATGTCAATGTATACAATAGAAAAATGTGAGTTCAATAATATTGTGTAAGTTATACAGCGATAGGGTATAAAATACGTTCAGCTCAAAACTTATGTTCGGAGTCAGATTTGGGTTTGTACCCCGACCCCCAGAGCTCTTAATAAAAGCACCTGCATATAATCATATCCCGTGATTATGTGTTTCCGAACGCTAACATTAGTGTTGAGTTTGTCTGTTAATAAGCAAAATTATTTACATAAGATTTTATGCAAATTTACTGCATAAATACTGCATGTGTAATTATGCTTATATCACAATTGACTTTTTATTGACAGAATTTTGTATTCTGGCAACAAACTCTTGAGCTATTCATTTACAACCTTCTTAGAAAACTAATCTGAATTTCTAGGCATTTAAACTGGCAAGGTAATTGTCCATTTATGCATAATTCATAATCAATACATTTTTATAGGATTAAATTTATATTTAACATTTTTTTATTTATGCTTACTTGAAATGTCTTACTGTCATTGTTGGATTTTTCTAAAAGTTCAGTGTTTATAATTATGAAATGATCAATATAAAACAGATTAAACCATTTTTAGGTTTAATTTACAAAAAAAATTGCACTGTTTTGTAAAACATTTTTTATTTATGTTTTTTCAGGGAATAAATCATCGCTTCTGGCTGCAATACAGTAATATGTGTTTGTTTTTTTCTTATTAAAGTCCCAATGTAGTAATAAAGTGTGTCCCTGTGCAAGACAAGTAGTTCTTTTTTGTATTGCATTTAATGAGAAAACATGATAGTTCTTCATTATGATTTGCTTGTACTCTAATATGTGCTTCTTTAATGAGCAAAGATCCTTGGTCTGAAAACATACTTTGAATTAAATTGATCCCTCAAATGTGACTGTGATGAGTATTGTGGGCATCAAATGCTATAGGAAAGGTTGTTTTCTTAGTTTCTTCATGTAAATGCTTCTCAAAGTTGCTTCTCCCCTAAATAACGGGCATGACTTCAGTATCAGGGACATCTCCTGACCCATGCTTTTGCTAAAAGAAGAAGTTACCATAACATCTGCAGATAATGTCAGTATTAAAATTGCCATTCTTTTTTTTTTTTTTGTTACAGCAAAATAGTTTTCAAAAGTAAAGTTCAGAAAGTTGTAATTTACTCTAAAATTGCCAAAATGACACCACCCCACCCTTCCCATGTCCTCTCTGTTTATTCAGTTTCACCTATTTCCCCTGGGGAATATTTGAAGTGACTCAGGTTGTGATGCTTGTGGTGAGAGAGCAGCTGAATCCTATTAGAAAACTGACAAGCTGTTTGTCCAGACGGGATGCCTGTCAAAGCAAGTTTGTCCAATCACTGACATTTGGGCTAGGAAATGTGATGGAAGGTGATTGATGCCTGATCTCCACATTCGCTTCGCATTCTGCCCAGTGAGTCAACAACTTGTCAGGGTGGGAAAATAAGCATGTTATAGAGTAAGACACTAGTCCCACAGATAAGCAGGAAGAACTTGGCTGTCACCTATGGCAACTTTATTCTTTAGGTAGGTGAATGAGACAATCACAGCTGGAATTTGACTTACATTCAAGGAAGAAGCAGACCTTTCTAAGAGAAGACTTTCCACTGATTTTATATTAGCAGTTACCGTCATTTTCAGTAAGAAATTTCATAAGGTAATTTACAACTCCGGGTATGGAGGAAATGAGCTATATACTGCTGAATTAGAAAGGCTTTAAAGAAAATTGTGTGAATAGCTATATTAACTGAGATCAGCACCAGGATTTATATTTGAAGAAACCTTTTATTCAGACAGTTTCTTAGCAAAGACAGTCCTTCTTAAAGGACAAGTGATAAACAAGACTAATGGGAAGAACTGGAGGGTGAAGCAGCATCGTTTGCACTTTCTTTGCATTTTGTAAAAAAAAAATATGTGAACTATAAACAAGTAAAATTACTACTTCTATCTTTTAGGCTCATCCGAATGTATTTAAAATATTCATTATGCATGAATAACTAACTTGGCAATGCTAAGAATGGTGTCAAAATAAGGCTTCTTTAATTGCCAAAAATAAAACATTGACAGTTAGTCAGAAGGACACACAGAAATATTGATCTTTAATCTCCTACATAAACACTTTGGCTGTCCCCATATTTTATAGAATATATATTACCTTATTTAAATACACATATCCACCATTTAAATAGTTTATAAAACTATATTTTTTAAAAATAATTCTTCAGAGTATGAAAAATCTAAAACTCATTGTAATTAATGTGCGAATTTCTTCTATCTTCCTCATCATGTACATTTTTACTTTAAGACAAAATCAGATTAATTTTCATTGTTGCCCTGCTATGAATGTACAAATAACCATTTGGATGACAATAATTTCCTAGATGACAGGAATCAAGTGTGTGAATGAAGATAAAGCACTAAAAATACTTGATCATTTTAGTATCACAGGTAGATTTAGAATCAGCTTGTAGAATTGCCATTCCTGTCCTTTGACCACTGCACAATGTAATTTTAAATCTTCCACCTTCTTCACCTGGAAATGATAATTTAGTTTGGTATCCCTCAGCTCCTGCTTTGAAGAAAAAGATGAATTCATAATTTCAGACCTTTTCGATAAAAATTGAAGATGGATATAAAAATGGATTACTCTTGGAACTAACTGTCTTACCTCTCATGGAAAATAATCATGCCATTGTTTTTTTCTAATTTTTCAACAAGTCTTTGTAATAATATGTAACTTTCTGGAAGCAGGATTTAAACCAAAAAATTTTAAAATCCCACAACTATTTCCGAAAGGGAAAAGTGTATTGGGCACATAGAACAATGCAGAAAAATATGGGGGGGGGGGTGGGGGGGGTGGGGAAACGCACAATAATGTAAAAACATTTATGGTTAGTACAGAATTAAAATTGTACTACTGAATAAAGAACATAATATATAAAATTTCTGTAATGGTATGTAACATTATTTGAATGAAACCTACCCCTGAGGGACTATGTATGTACTATTTTTGCAACCTGTCAAAGCAATTAATTCTGTTTTCTTTGTAGATTTCCGTTCACTTACTGTAGTGTGTTCCTGAGAAGCTATATAGAGTAATATATAAGAGAAAACATTTTTTGGAACAAAATTGAGAATTATTACAGCAGTCCATTAACGAGGATTTATTAATTCAAAGTGTTACCTATCCTACCTGTTCATGGACAAGAGGAAGCTCTCTTATCTTGTGCAAATGGAAAAAAAAAAAAATTGCTCTTGCTTGATAATTAACTTTATTCAGTGCTGTATGCTGAATGTACCTGAGTATACTGACCACTGTTCCCATGGACTTTGTTCAGAGGCCAGCCTCTTGGGGTGTTGTGATATTTTTGTTTTATGTAGTGCAAGATTTTATTGGAAAGAAACTTGCATCCATGCTTTAATTAAGTTTTGACAAATGTCAGTTGAATCAAGGATTTTAAATACCAATAAAATGCATTAACACAGTTTTTTGTAGTTTTGGATGGCATACTGTTTAAGAAAGTGTAAGTAAAGGACATGACTGCAGTTTTCACAGAGCTATTGTGAGGGAAAATATGTCCCTTAGTTTTTTGGAATTGAAAAATTCATTAAGAACCTAAAGAATATGCTGAGCTGGAAGGGACCCATGATGATCACTGAGTCCACCTCCTAACTCCACATGGGGCAACCTACATATTAAACCATGTGTCTAAGAGCATTGCCCAAATGCTTCTTGAAGACTGACAGGCTTGAGGCCATGACCTGTCTCCCAGGGAGCAGTTCCACTGCTTGATAATACTCTAAGTGAAGACCTTTTTCCTGACACCTAATCTAAAATCCCCTGATTGAGCTTTAATATTCCTTTATGTCCTGCTACCAGAGAAAGTGACAAACACCTCCATCTTTGCTCCCCATCATGAGATAATCGTAGACAGCAATGAGTTGATGACTCAGCCTCCTTTTCTATAATCTGAACAAAGTCATACCCTCTACTCCTTTAACCATCTTTGCTGCCCACCTTGGGGTGGAAAAATATTCCACTATTTTTATATCCTGCTTATATTATGTGGAGCTCAAATTGAACACTTATTCAAAGTGGGGTTGAGTGTTTTGAGCAGCAGCAAAACTGATGAAGAGCTGAAAGGAAAAACCAAAGACATAGCATTAAAAGTGTTCATGGAGTTAACTTTTTTTGCCACATGAAAGTTAAGAATATTTTTAAAAGTTCTTAGGGCTTTATTTTGTTCAGAAACTGCAGTTGTCCTTCCTCACATGTTTGCAATTGGTCAGTGTTTCTTTCCAGATCTATTATCTTATAAATATATCAGCTTTACAAGCTTCCTTTTATTTTAAAAAGTGACAAAAGTCATTGAAAGTGACATACTTTCTCCTAGTAGTGGGACTATAAAATGTTTCACATTAAAACTCAATAACTTTTTCTTTCCTTTTCAATTAGAAAGCCTCTTTTTTTCCTCCTTTTAACTTTATCTGATTTCTATAATGCATTTTGCATCTTGAATTCCATTTGGTACCAGCTGGCAGAGATACTGGAAATTCAAAGTCTGCTTTTCATACTTGTGGTAGAATGAATTCTCAAACTAGTATTTCGGTCTTTGCTGCTCTTGAACAAAACTGTGGATCATAAGGTAAATGGTGATAATGTTACCTGGTGTATTTCCTGGCATTCTGGCAAAGGGTACCTCTGCTTGCCAAAGC